CCCGACAGACTTTGTTCCCTATAACAAAGATGAGCCTCACATTTGACTGGCCCTTGTCTCCATTCGTGGCTTTTGTCAAGTTGTTTTTAATGAAGGCTCTGAGCTGGGCTGTTCACAAGGAGTCTTGGAACTTGGCCCATGTGATAGAAAAAGACTTTTGATTTCAGTGCTCAGGCTATTTGTTACTTATTTTTGCTCAGTGACAAATACAGACAGACATTCACAAGTCCTCCCAACATGCTTAGCATCCACCTACAGTTCGACAAAGCCAGTCAGCTGGTGTTCAAAGTGAAGGGCATTTCACAGGAGGCAAAGGAGATTGTGTATAGCATTCATTCTCAGTGAATTTTCACATTTATCTTCAGGAAAGAATGTCTTCTTTGTGCTTTTGAGTAAAGAACAACTTGAGAGAACATTAGAATTCAGGGAAAATATTCAGATTCGGGGGGAGAAACAGCTTTCCCGGCAGTCTCATTTTTTAAAGACAGCTGTATCACCTTTAATTCACTCGAACACCCACATATCTTTTAAAACCTGCTTTCGCACCACGCTGACAGTTAGAATTTTATCTCTGCACTGTTAATATTTCTCTAGAGAGTACATTACTGCATCATTTTGTCAAACTTGAACGCGAAGAGATGAATGCTCCTCCTCTCTGAAAAATTTCGGGGAAAGTTGCTTTAACCAGTTTCCTGTTTTCAGAGACTATTTTCCTGTCATCACTTCAGACCTAGCAAAGTTTAGTTAATTCTTTTAACAGCCATATTTTCTAAAAAGTGGGATGCTCACAGTAGTTCTCATGGCTCCTGACTACTGCTGTATTCTCGCGGACCATAGGTGCTGATGCAGAGCAAGAAGACCCGTGAATCAAAAGGCGCCCTAGCCACCTACCACTCAGCGTGCAGGATGCTGCCCACCCTGCCTTTTTCTTGCTTCCTGGAAACCCCCTTTCCTGAGGCGCTCTGATTCCCAGCCGGGCAGGATGAAATGTCTTCATGTGATAACATTCAAAATATTTTGCTGAGGGACCATGGATGGGTGAAGAGGAAAACAGAATATTAATTGAAAATCAAGTATTCCTATCAGCTAAAAGCTCCCTTCCTTTGGCAGTCGGAGAACAACTTTTTAAACAATCGTATAGAAAATGTGCCATTCAGCAGATTTGATGATCTCAAGTAGAGAAGCGGTAAATGAAATACAATGTACTTGTAGACTGGACAGGATAAAGATCTACTGTCTGTTTTTGTATGACCTGTAAGCGGTAAATGGTTTCTGCAATTTTAAATGGTTGGGAAAAAAGAATAATAATATTACTATGACACTGGAAATAAAGCTTTATTGGAGCAGAGCCAAGACCATTTACGGATATAGTATCTTTCATTGCTTGCATGCTACAACAGTTGAGCACTTGCATAGTCGAATAGTTGCAACAGAGACCATGTAGCCCTGAAAGATTCAAATATTTACTATCTGTCCTTTAACCAAGTTTATTGACCACTGGGTTAGATCACTGTATCATAAAGTGATTCTATTTAAAAATATTTTGTAATAAGAGAAATGGTCTACGGCCATACCACCCTGAACGCGCCCGATCTCGTCTGATCTCGGAAGCTAAGCAGGGTCGGGCCTGGTTAGTACTTGGATGGGAGAAATGTCTATGATATATTTAGTGAAATAATTATAACAAACTGTATATAAAAGATGATCCCAAATAGTTTATTTTTCTATGCATAATTGTTGCTTCCTTCCCCTAGTGGAAATGTAAGTTTTATGAAAGAAAAAAATGCATTAATTATTTCAAGTGTAGAATGATGCTTGGTATATAGTAGATGCTCAATCCTATATAATAAAAACCTAATATGCAAATCAACCAAACAGCGGAACGACTGGTCGCCATGACACACATTGACCACCAGGGGGCAGACACTCAATGCAGGAGCTGCCCCCTGGTGGTCAGTGCGCTCCCACAGTGGGAGCGCCACTCGGTTGACCGGGATGAGCCGCTCATAGGGCTGGTCCACAGCCACTCGGCTGACCAGGATGAGGGGTGCTCCCACAGTGGGCTGATCCCCGCAGGCCACGCCCCTCCACCAAGTGCATGAATCCTGTGCACTGGGCCTCTAGTAAACAAATAAAGGCCAGTTGAAGACTGATGAATTATGTAATTGCACAATGTATATATGTAATAATAATCATAGCAAAACCTTTCTGAGATCTGAAAATGTTAGGTACCAGGCTGATAATTTTAAGTGTGTGAACCCCATTCGCTTAACAAAGTTCTTTTGGAAGGTACATAATTTACTCTCATTTTACAGAAGAAAAGGGCAAGGAGAGATTGTATAACTTGTCTACTGCTACAAGGCTAAAAAGTAATGTGATCAGAATTGAAAAGGTCTGATGGATGCCAGAGTCTGGGCTCTAACCATAAGCTATACTCCTTAAATATCTAAAAACAGAAATTTAATTTTCTTACCTGTCCTTCAGGTGAGAAAGAAAGGGATGGGAAACTACCAGAGGTAAATATCCAAATAACAGAACCTACTGGGGCAGGAGATTATAGATGGTTTTTGTTTCCTTAGCTATGCATTTTAATGTTTTTCCATGTTTTTTAAAATGAGTAGATTTACTTTTAATTAGTTTGAAAATAAGAAACAAATGTTTCTAAAGAAAAGGAAAGACAGCCCAGAAAGGCTGTCAATTATTTAAGTTGTTTATGTAGATCATTTCCTTATTTCTCTGAGGGTCTTAAGTGAATTGCCGAGGAAACTGTTCTGGCCTGTCTGTCTCATGTGTTGGCTTGTGTTGTTAAACTTCAGTATTCACCTCCCTTTGAATACTTCCTAGCACTGAGAATGCAAAGAGCTGTCTGGGTATCACTTTGGTCCAAAGACCCTGACTGATAGAGCTTCTGGATGTTTATCTTTAGAAGTCTGAAGTATTCGTGTCTTTGAAAGCTATGTTGTGTCTTCTGGTCATGTTTGCTTACACTGATTTATATGTATCTCTCACTGCATGATGGACTGCTTTTGTCTGGAATATATTATTATTATTTTTAAATTGGCATAATAGTTGGAGCAATACATTTAAAATTAGATTTATATTATATCTAAGAAGTTAATTAGGTCCCAGGAGCCCCAAACCATTTAGCAAAGTAAAAATAAAGAAAAAGGAGAGTAGTAATGTTAAAAAAGAAATTCCTTATTTATGGTTCAAGTTTTTTTGTTTGTTTGTTTTCTCTCTGTTTTTTTCCTCTTAAATTGTATGTCAATAACTGTGGCATATTTTCCACAATCTAAAGGACTTTTCACATGCCTTGGCCTAAATTTCAAGGCTAAGAGGATAAAGATTTTCTTTTTTTGAACAAAACTAGAATACAGGTGATTAGAATGATTAAGTGAATACTGCTAAAATTATTGAGGTTAGTGTAACCCCAAATTCAAGAGTGGTTAAAGAAGATGATAAATTCCTGCATTTAAGACCAGAGATAAAAACTCAGCAAGAAGCAGGCAAGCAAGGTGGGAAAACAAAAGTCTTTAACAAAAAGGAAACCAGTTATACTTTGAGAAACTCTTAGGTTATTTTAAACTAGAGGCCTGGTGCATGGGGGGAGAGGGAGGGAGTGGGGGTCCCTCAACCCGGCCTGCACCCTCTCACAATCTGGGATCCTAAGGGGGATGTCCGACTGCCAGTTTAGGCCCGATCCCAGGATTGGGCCTAAACTGGCAGTCGGACATTCCTCTCGAAATCTGGGACCACTGGCTCCTAACCGCTCGCCTGCCTGCCTGACTGCCTGCCTGATCGCCCCTAACCACTCTGCCTTGGCCCCCACTGCCATGGCTTCGTCCCAAAGGACATCCAGAATGACATCTGGAAGGTTGTTCGGCTGTCCAGTCTAATTAGCATATTATGCTTTTATTATTATAGATGGCTTTTAAAAATCCCCGTTTAGATGTGTCTAGACATTCCAGTCATAATTTCAGAGGCTTCTATTGCCCAGGCCTGTTAAGAGTGAGTTAAGTGGTTTTGTTTTGTTTTTCTACACATCTTTGTGACTTAGTTTTTTGTTTCTTTCCCCCATGAGCGTCATTCTGATTTCTGAGTGATAAGCAAAGTTGCTCCATGTCTTCTCTCAGTGACTTTAGCAGAAACAGGGGCCTGGGAGTGATGTCATTGGTTCTGAGGTTGAAATGTCCTCCAGTGGAACCCATCATGGTCTTCACTGTTTATGGTGACTTCAGTCAGGCTTGTCATTTGATGCAGTTTAGCAATGAAATTTTAAAACTATCTGAAGTGAGGCGAAAACAATTCAAGTGACAGATTTTTTGAGAAATCACCTATACCCATGCAGTTGAAGAAATGACATTTGCTTAAATACATTTTGTGAGGTTACATGTGAGTAAATGATCTGTTACCAAGAGCACTGATGTTTTTACCAAAAAAGAAAAAACACACTCTTGCTTCTTTTTCTTTGGAGATTGTGGTGACGGTTGTGAACCATACAATTTCACTTTTAAATTTGCGACTTCTGAACATTCTTTTTCTTCCTGACATCATAAAGCAGCCTCAGAAAATCAGACGGTTGTTATTACAAATAGAGAGCAGTTCCATTCAGACATTGAATAGACAATTATACGTGTCTGGATCCTTTCCTTTTTTTGTGGTGCCTACTTTTAGATGTGGAATAAAACCACATTAACCAGAGGACGTTCTTATTGGTGGTTAGTAGCCAATTTCTGCCACATCTTTAAAGTATCCTGTTTAAAAAAATTTCTCTAATTGTCTAACAATACCTTCCATTATATAAGACTTTGCTCAGGAAGCATCATTGAGGTATAAAATATTAAAGCCTCAGAAGATAAAGGGATCATAACATATCGTCTAATCACACTTTGGCATTTGACAGGTGAGAGCCTGAAGCTGTGGAAATGTGTGACTGCCCGAGGACACACTCACTCAGCAATCGCATGCTGAAAACATGTTTGTTTTTTTTAATTCCCTAGATGGCCGCCCCTGTCCTGTTATTCTCTGGGACCCATCTTTATCTCCAACGAGTAACGAGACCCACTCTTCTGTGAAGCTCACCTGGGGAGCCTACCAGCAGCTGCTAAAGCAGAAGTGCTGGCAGCATGGCCGCGCACCCAGACCCGAGTGGGGTTGTACTGCAGTGCATCACCACGAGTGGTCCAAGATGGCCCTCTTTGATTTCCTGTTACAGGTGAGTTCACCAAATCAAGCAAGTGGTTTTCTAAGACTAACGCTGAGTTAGGCAAGTCTGACACGAAGGGATTTTCTGCGCCTTGAGTTTTTATGAAGCCAGAGTTTAAGTTCTCTCTTGCTATATTTGGCGAGTATATATAGTACCTCATGATACACTTTTATGTCCTTTAGGGAAATATTTAGAAATGTCCCTCAGTTCTTTTATTAATTTCTGAAGAGGTAATTCTTCAGTGTTTCGATCTTGCAATAGTTATACTTACCATAGATACAATTTATTGAGGTAACCCATCAATAATTCTTCAAGGTGGATAGTCTTACCCCATTTGGGAAGTGAGTAAATTGAAGTTTGGTGAAGTTAAGTAACTAATGCCAGTTCCTTTTTAAAATTTTAAAATTAAAAAAATTATATATATATTTTTTATTTCAGAGAGGAAGGGAGAAAGAGACAGAAACATCAGTGATGAGAGAGAATCATTGATTGGTTGCCCCCTGCACACCCCACACTAGGGATAGAGCCTGCAACCCAGGCATTTGCCCTGACTGGGAATCAAACCATTGACCTCCTGGTTCATAGGTCGATGTTCAACCACTGAGCCATGCCAGCCAGGCAATTTTTAAATGTTTAAAAATCTTTATTGTTGAAAGTACTACATCACAAATTCTTAAGACCACTGACAGCTGGAGCTGGGATTCCCTGGGATCTGTTGATGGTAAAAGTTTGTCTTCTTTCCATCATTCCTCCCTGTGTTTCAGTGGTCATTTGGCCACACAGCTTACAACCACCGTTTCCCTTGTTTTCTTTTCAGTTATTTTTTTGCAAATATTTAATTAAGATTAAACATCAGAGAATAACTAATACATAATTGAGTGACCCGACATTTTCTAGGTTTCTCATAACTCTTAACTCCTTTTGATAAAGATCCATTGACTCCGTCCACTCCCTCATTCCGATTTCTGCTTTTTCCTTCCTCTATTAAAAACAAACTTGGATTCCTGTTGCTGTATTGTTAATGAGTATTTTGTGGAAATTTAAGACTGTCTTAGGACATTTGCAAAACATTCTCCTTTCACGTGTGTGTGACTTTTCAGGATGGCATATAGATTCCTCAGATGTCTGCTTCCAATTTAAAAGCCTTTAGAATTTTATACAGGGTGGGGCAAAAGTAGGTTTGTCGTTGTTTGTGTGGAAAATAATACAATAATTAATAAATAATAACAAGAATAAACGCTTGTGTTTTGCATACTCATAACTGTAAACCTCCTATTGCTCCACCCTATATATTCTTCTTTTTTTTTTTTTTTTAGCATCAAGCTTTTATTCAGGTCTTTGCTGTCTGTCCAGTTTGGGGGAATAAATTCCACCATTTATTTAAGTGGTGTTTGGGATGGAGTGTATTGAATGGATTTTATGAATAATCTCTTTTTTAAAGAGAGAGAGAAATGTAGGAAGAAAACAAGTTTAATTCAGACTCGCCGTCTAGGGATTGGAAACTTTCAAGAAGGAGAGAATGATTTATGGTGTCAGTGCCACAGAGCCACCAGCGAGAGCTAAGCTGGAAAACATGAACTTTGGTTTGGCAAGGAGGCAGTGAGTCACCAAATACTGTTCAACAGTCCAGCTGCAAGGCTCAGGCTGGTTCTAAACACCCCCTCCATTCTACAGGTAGGGGAAGCTGAGGCATAAAGAAGTCATCATCACGAGCTGTGACAGGCCTGAGATCTACCCTTCTCACAAGCTAAGACGTTAGCCAGCCACACGTTCATGGATGCTAGCAGAAACAAAAGACTCCCAAGCCAGACACAAATGACCTCATTACTCATGGCAGCTGGCAAAAGCTTCATGGTCCTTTGCCCCTCAAGTCCCATTGGGGTGATACAGAGTGGCCCTGTTGAATGCAGCATATAGTGGAGTTGTGTCATTGCTGAGAACTCTAAACTTAGGAATCCTCCAATCTTGTAAGAGGCTGCTAGCAAACCTGCTTAACATTTGTCACAAAAGGAGACAGTATCTTTATTATCTTGGTCAGAAAACAGATCTGCCTTCCATCCTAGAGGGAGATACTCTTTGTATCTTCCAAGGCTGTTTGCTATACTAACACACTTGTAGAGATAGTGCAGAATTAAACCTGCTATAAGATGGACAGAAATGCCATGGAGAAAGTTACCTGACTTGTTCTGTATTATATAGCTAGTAAGTTCCCAAATAGAGGTTTCAGCAAGTTTGAATAACTCTAGATATTATATTTTTAAACATTATTGTAAAACAATTGCCAAGTTATTGTTAGGTTAATAAAAGAAGTTGGTGTGGTAAAAATGTATTAGCAAACAAGTGAAGAATGAATGAAGATTTCTAGGGTTAAGTAGGTAAAGGTACTCACTATGAGGCCAGATATTTGGGGAGTGGCCAGCATAGATGTTGAAGCTCTAAGGATGATGACTAGGAGGAGGATGGAGAGGAAACCTATGAACCTGGTAGTGAAGTCTATGAGAAAGGAATGACCTTGAGGTTTGTAGCTAGTGAACATAAGAACTAACCTATACTGAATAGAGGGCAAACCCTTTTAGAAGTTGTCTCTAGTGATATTTGTTTTAATTCTGGAATCTTCAATTAAATCTCATCCTACATCTGTCTTTATCATTGAGGAAAGCTACTATCTTTCAACCAATGAATACATATTTATGCGACATCTACTGTGCATTATACTACAGAAAATAACCACAGGGGTAACAAAGCAGTATAAGATTGTATCCTCATTGCCCACCTCAAGTTTGATTTTTTAAAAAACATTTAGTTTGAAAATGTGGTGAATAAAACAAAAAGATAGATTCATGTAAGAATGGCTGGCTGACACTGTGGAGAACAGTATGGAGTTTCCTCAAAAAACTAAATATGGAACTCCCATTCGACCCAGTGATCCCACTTCTAGAAATATATCCCAAGAAACCAGAAACACCAATCAGAAAGGATATATGCACCCCTATGTTCATAGCAGCACAATTCACCATAGCTAAGATTTGCAAACAGCCTAAGTGCCCATCAGTAGATGAGTGGATTAGAAAACTGTGGTACATCTACACAATGGAATACTATGCTGCTGTAAAAAAGAAGGAATTCTTACCATTTGCAACAGCATGGATGGAACTGGAGAGCATTATGCTAAGTGAAATTAGCCAGTCAGAGAAAGATAAATATCACATGATCTCACTCATTTATGGAATATAATGAACAACATAAACTGATGAACAAAAACAGATCCAGAGACAGAGAAGCATTGATCAGACAGTCAAACCTCAGAGGGAAGGTAGGGGAGGGTGGGAGTAAGGGGGAGAGATCAACCAAAGACATGTATGCATGCATATAAGCCTAACCAATGGACACAGACAACAGGGGGGTGAGGGCATGAGTGTGGGGGGTAGGGGGAGTAATGGGGGGATAAGGACACATATGTAATACCTTAATCAATAAAGAAATTAAAAAAAAGAATGGCTGGCTGAAGTAATATAAGTTCTCATTGTTATGAGGTCAAAAGAGAGAGAGCACTTTGCCATAAAATAGTTAGTAAAGGAGGAAGAGTTTGAGAGAGGATAGGGCAAAACATGAGGAGGGATTGACAATATTCACATGATATTGAGAGCAGCCTAAATATACTATTTGTCTGAAATGGTTATTGGGGGAGTAGTGGTACATTCTGCCTATAAGAGATACAATAGCACATGGATAAAGAGAGCTGTTTTCACAAAATGTGTGTTCACTACCCTGACTGAGCAAGAACAGATTCCAGCTGAGCCATAGTCTCCTGAGTGCACCACAGCCTTTGTCATCATTGTATTCATTGTCTGTGGTCCTGAGGACAAATATGGGCACATGAGTTGTTATTATGAATTTTCAACAAAGATAAATATTTCAAATCCTTAAACTAATACTATTGATAATCTAACAAACATATAACACTTGCTATATTCATGGCACTGTCCTGGGCACTTGATACTAAGCGCTAAGATATTAATTTATTTAATCCCCATGTCAACCCTATGAAGTAGACACTTATTATTCTTATTTTAGATTTGAGGAAATCTAGACAAAGAGAAATGAAGTAACTTGGGCAGGGTCTCACATAGTTGGCATGCAACAGAAATTGGAGTCAAACTCAGGAGTTTTGGTTTAAGAAACAAACTTGTGAATAATGCTTCTTTCAGTTCATTTTATGGGGCATAATCATGCGATTTTCTAAGTCAAAGATCTGGTTGTCACCTAGATGCTTTACAATACATACCTGCACATCCATACAGTGATATCTTTGGTATCACCCAAATCTATCTTTTAGGTATAGCTTGTGTTCCTATCTTAGTTCAGGTTTTGTCATTTATTACCTGGATGACTCCCTCCAATCCACTCATACTCTATGACCAAGATTCACCTTTGGCTTGAGATATTGGACATCAGGAACTGATTCTATCGGTAGGTCAGTTCTTTTTGTAGTCTACCCTCTTGTTCCTTCTGCCTGGGGAAGGGGGAGGGGGCTGGAAACTTTCTCAGTCTTGATAATGTATGAGGATGAGATCTCTGCAAGACTTTACTGAACCTGTTCAAGTAATGATACTATGATTGAAGTTCCTAATTTTGGCTCTGGTTAAAAAGCACTGAATCGGAGTGTCAGAAATTAATTTGATTGCTAATTAATTTGCTTACATTTACAAAAGTATATCAAATTATATGTATGAGGACAGCATCTGTGAGAGTGGACGTACATTTTTTTTTCATTTATCTAATATCTATTTGCTTCCTACTGTGCAACAGACAAAAGGCTAATTTCCTTTAGATGTTGCAGCATTTTACAATTGCCTAAGGAAAGTATTAGGGTGCCCGTTTCCCCTTTCTTGCTAATTTTTGGAAATGGAAAACTAATTAATATTTTGGCTTATTTTGAAGGGTAGTGGGGGGTCTTGTTTATATTTCCAGTTCTTTCATTAGGAATGAGATTGAGGATGTACATATTT